TTCAAGTTTCATTTAAAATTTGGTAATTTTTTAATTTGTTTCTTTCTTTATATAATATGTAATGTATATAATATATACCACATGTTTTACAAAGATTTTAGCCTGACAGTAATACCTTGGGATATCAGTTTCTTACATTTAAAAGGAGACTTTAAAAATTCTTCTTTACTCTTTCAACCAGAAAATGGCTTTGGAAAAACATTCAAAAGTTTAGGACGTATAGGAATGTATTGAAAGGTTAAAGGTGTGTTAAATAAAATAAAATTATTTATTATTTTTACGAACAATTTGTTATGACAGAGGTTACTTGTTGATTCTAATACTTCTCAAAAACAATTCGATGAATTTGTCGAAAGACTTTCGAGAGCCATATTGGAACCGCCACTTAGAAATTCGTAATCAGTGACCCCAAAAACCCCCGAGTAGCAACCCAGATAGTAAAATGCGCTCACAGTGTCAGACATGTAGCTTGCACGCGTGCCGATTAACCCTCACGCGTGCTCTCACTGGACCAAACAGATGCGTCCTCATATGCGACGCATGTGAGTCGCACGCATGATGGTAAAATGAGTCTAGTTCATATTCTATTACTAATTTAAGTTAAAACGAATATAATATATTACGTGATGCTGGAATGTAGAAATTGTCGTTAAACTCGACTATTAGACAATAATTTTCTGCGCATTTCATGCTCTAGTGCAGCCATCACTTCGTGAATGCGATATGCGTGTGTTATAACACGCATTGCCTGACTCGCACGTCAAGTGCGTAACGTGCGTCGCACGATTCTTATCTGGGAAGACTCAAGAGAATTTAAACAGTTTTTAAAAAATGCGTCTGCCATTTTGAATTTCGAAAATCTAACTTCAAATTCGTAATCAGGAACCTCAAAAACCCGAGAGTAACAAGAATTAATAGAATTCAAACGGTTTTTAAAATTTTCGTCCGCCTTGTTAAATTTTTAAAACCTAACCTCAAAGATTTGAACTATAAATTCAATTATGCGTTAGGGGTTATGCGTTCAATACAGGCTCTCCGCAATTATTGCATGACATTTCAGTTTTGGGTCTTAAAGTTGTAGGTTTAAGCTTTCTTTTGAGCCCTATTAAAGCTTTCTATGCCCTCCCGTTTTCATTTTATAGTACTTCAAAAAGTACCAAAAAGCCATTTTTCGACATTTGTTATATGCCAAAAACCACTCTTTCAAAGGTTGCATATAAGAATTTCGTAAATTATTAAATAAACTAAATGCACTTGTTTTTTTTTAATAAAGTCGTCAATGATAGAGGTTTCATAATTATACATTGCGCTGCATATAGTTGTGTAAGTTTTTTATTTCTTCGAATTTTGATCTGATACTTTGGGATTATATTACTAATATAATTTGTAATACGAAAATGAAACGAATAAATAATCAATTTTTTAACATATAAAGTGTAATATTACCTTAATTTATAAAATAAAATACTATCATATGAAAACCGATTAATAAATTCCTTGATTATCGACAAGTAATTCAGAATTGAATATAAAAATTACTGACCTTAAAGAAAAAAAAATGTCGCTATGACAATTGGAAAAAGCAAATAATAATTTCCAAATAAGTGGATCTCTGGATCTAATTTGTAGCGCAATTAGTTAGAGTACTCATCCGACAAAGGGTAGTTGTGGTGTTCGACTCCTACCATAACACAAGAGCAGATTCGCTTTTTTAATAAATTCTATATCAGTAGCTTAGAAAAATAAAAATTTACAAACTTAATTTGATTTAGGGTCAGATGGAAAAAATACGAACAAGGGGTGAATGCGAACAACACTTTAAGTAATTTTTTTAATGATAGAATGGTACAAAATTGTTTCTATTAGCCCGAGTTAGTTACTTAATTTCAACTTTTGGTATGTTTGATTTTTGAATTTATATGATGCAACTTTATGCAAAAACTAACTGAAAGAATTGCAATTGAAATTAAAAAAAACTTACGTTATTGGTGAAACTTAAAAATTTCGTTCGTATTTACCCCACACGAAAATGACCATCTACATTTTTCAGTACAATGCATTTTATAAGATCATGTACTATTGTAGTATTAAGGTACATCTCCGGCTCCAGTGGTGCTCAGTTTCTTGCGACTACCCTGGCGGATTCGATTTGCGTAATGTCTACTTAACTAAGTGGACTTTAGGTAGACATTAGGTAAACATGTAAAAAAACGTATAGAAAAGCTATTAATCGACTTATTATGATAAAAAAAGTTGATAAAAGGGTAAATGAATGTTTATAGAGTAAATTCGTACAAAATTTGTAATTAATAAAGCATTAAATAATTAATAATGAATGGAAATGTGCGCGAGGTACCTGATCAGTTCAGCTGTACAATTATTTTCGTGCTATTTTCATGAAAAGAATATAAATTAACGGCAAAAACAATTGATATTTATAAAAAAGTGTAAAATTGATTTAATTTGAGTGTTTGCAATACGAATTATTAAATAATAATTAAGTTTTTATCAAATGTGAATAGTGTTGTGAAAACCTGTGAAAACTAATGAGTTACTACATTACCGATCGCATATGATAATAAAAAGTTCTCGATGAGTGTAACAAAAAAGCTGCAATCATGTCCGTAATTTTGGACGAGAAACAATTATGAAATCAATAATTATTTATATTTAACTTTATTCTGCATTTTAAAATTCACTTTTTATTTTCTTTCAAAGCAAAAGCTTGGAAGAAAACATGCTCGCACTGTATTGTAAAAACTGGTGGCGCCATCTCTGGCAATCTCGGAAATTATGTACTTGGTTAAATTGCAGCTTTTTTGTTACACTCATCGAGAACTTTTTATTATCATATGCGATCGGTAATGTAGTAACTCATTAGTTTTCACAGGTTTTCACAACACTATTCACATTTGATAAAAACTTAATTATTATTTAATAATTCGTATTGCAAACACTCAAATTAAATCAATTTTACACTTTTTTATAAATATCAATTGTTTTTGCCGTTAATTTATATTCTTTTCATGAAAATAGCACGAAAATAATTGTACAGCTGAACTGATCAGGTACCTCGCGCACATTTCCATTCATTATTAATTATTTAATGCTTTATTAATTACAAATTTTGTACGAATTTACTCTATAAACATTCATTTACCCTTTTATCAACTTTTTTTATCATAATAAGTCGATTAATAGCTTTTCTATACGTTTTTTTACATGTTTACCTAATGTCTACCTAAAGTCCACTTAGTTAAGTAGACATTACGCAAATCGAATCCGCCAGGGTAGTTTATACTAATCAACAGCTCACTTCACTGTCGTGTTTTCTCTCTCTTTCTCAAGCGAATAATATACTTGACTCTTTTGAAAAATCAATAAATAACCTAACTTTTCTACTTCAAAACGTTGTAATTCAAAAATTAGCATGGATACCCCTACTAAAACTTTTTTTTATCTTATTCTATTAATTCCATTCTACAATATACTCGTTTTTAAAAAAAATTTATCGATAACTTTTTAAATAATTCAATAAAATGTATGAGTTTTGCATGTTCAGATTAGGAATCCTATGTTAACTGGTGCAACTTTGAACCCAGATTTATCAGTTTTTAGCATGGCAAGGGGTACTGGGTTTTTTTACCAATTATAAAGTACATAAAAAGGAATATTTTCCCAGAGTTTAAAAAAATTCTAGCAAAAATCGATTTGCCGGAGAAATACCTTAAATTTTCTTTTCTAAATACGCATAAAATTCAAGCAATATTAGTTAAAAGTTATGCCTTAACAAGAACGGGCGCGCTTGTTTTAAAAGCATGTGATATCAGTATAGTACAATAGCCAGAGCATCATCCTTTTTGAAGAGAAAATTCTTGCTTTTAGAGCAAGATCGTACCTAGTAAATTAGCATGGGGTACAACCATACTATAAAAGCTTGATTCTTATTTTCGTGCAGCAGACCCTAAGTATTTTAATGTTAAAATATTGGTAGTAGGTCTTTTAATATAAAATACTATCTTAGTGTTCAAAAAAGTATGTTTGTTTTAAAAACGTTTTTAGAACGTTTAATATTTGCCAAATAATGTTTTGAAACATTTCAAGAACACAGATGTTCAAATAATGTTCTAAAACATTATTTGGTAGACATGAAACGTTCTAAAAACGTTCTTAAATCTTTTTCTAAAAGAGCATGGTTTTTTGCCCACTGGGATTTTATGTAGTCAAATTTTTTAAATAATAACACATCTATAAAAATAAATTAATTCCACAGATGAGGAAAACTTCGATACGTTTTTTGATCAAAAAGAAGATTCAACAAATGGTCGTGAAAATTTACGTAAAAACATAAATTTAATTCATTCAGATTCAGGTATTATTACAATCATTATGAATACATTCGACTCTCGCATCTTTTACATTCAATTCTTTTATAATTTTGTTCGGGTCTTTCATCAAATAGTCAACATTTTTATTTTAACTAACGTACGTTACTTACAATGAACTGAAGTACATAGCTACTAGATTATAAGTGTTACGAGAAGTTTTAGCAACATATCTGATGAATTTAAAAGCATAATTGTTTAAATTAAAGCAAATAGTACTTACTAAAAGTTGTATTACTATTATATCAGATAATAAACCTTATTTTAATTTGAAATATAGCTAAAAAACACACAACCCAGTTGGAAAAAAACCATGTTCGTTCTAAAAACGTTTTTAAAACGTTTCATGTTTACCAAATAATGTTCTGAAACATTTTAAGAACATGGATCTTTAAATAAAGTTATAGAACATTTTTTGGCTGACATGAAACGTTCTAAAAATGTTTTAGGAACATTTTCGGAACAAACATGATTTTTTGCCCACTGGGAAGGTTGGAGAGGTAAACATACGAGAGGAGTTGACCACATAAGTGTAGAAGATCCTAGAGTCGAATATTTTGCGAATCTTGTATAATGATATTTTTTTAAATAACTCTAAAACATCTTATTTTACAGATATGGATAATTCAGAAGCTTTTTTTGATCAAAAAGGGGATTCAAAAAATGATAATGAAAATTTGCGACAAAGCATAAATTTAATTCAGTCAAATTCAGGTATTATTACAAATATCTGTGTACGTTAAAGTGACATTGTCTAAATAATAAATCATCTAAAAGAAACTTTATTTTATAGATGGGGGAAACTATAATGCTTTTCCTGCTCAAACAGCAGATTTGAAAAATGAGAACGAAAATTTATATAAAAGTATGAATGAAGTGAAATCAGATTCAGGTAATTATTGCAATCATTACAAATTTTTCATGTTGTGAAAGAAAAAAACAGAAATAAGTCATTGAGGGGTTAGGCTAAATAAAGTGTTACATATGAAAATTCAAGTACCCTCGCACAGCGACCGACATTTTGGAATTATTCGTACGTATTGTCTCCTATTCAAAATTTACACGTGTTTTTGGGATTAATACTTTTTAAAAATGATTTAACCACTTAACCACGTAGATGTACACGTGTTTTAGGACTTCATTTTTACACAGATGTTTTTACCATTTCTCCACGTGTATATACATGTGTATTTGGGGCTTCATTTTTTTCAATGATACTTTGCCATATTCTTCACGTGGATATCTGTAAAAAAATTATGTCCTAAATACACATGTATATACTCAGGGAGAAATGGTTAAAATATCTCTGAAAAAAATTAAGTCCTATATACACGTGGGAGAATGGTTAAAATATCTTTGAAAAAAATGAATTCGTAAATAAACGTGTATATCCACTTGGAGAAATGGTCAAAATATCTGTGATCATGGTTTTTTTCATATTTTTTTACATTTCAAATGTTGGACAAACCATATATTAAAACTATAAAATGAATATCCTCCAGGAATTCCTACTTAAAATCATTTCGTAATTTCGCATATAATTAATATATGGGATTCCACATGGATTCTAATATGGACATGGATTTTCATATACATTTTTAGTAGGAAACCATAAGGAATCCCATGTGGAATCCTATATTATTAATATGGATTTTGAATAGAATACTATGCGTTGTGTTGCCGAGGATTCTAATCTTTTTTAAAAATAATATTATTAACAGAGTAGGATACTGTATGCATAATAGAAAGCAACGATGATGATGACGGTGTAGCCGAAAATGATTTGGACCCATCCACATTAAAAAGGTATGCTGTGTATGTGAAGAGAAATAAAAAACATAAGAAAATACAACGTATACATCTTGGAGATGGCGTAACAATAAAACTGGAATCATGGCGTGAAATTATAACAATGAAAAATCCTCAGAAATTTGTTAAAGCGCTTACAATAGCAATTTGGGGACGCTATACTCTTGTAAACAGATACGTCAAAGAAACAAATACGGCGGTTATTCAACTGCCAGGTCGGTCACCACGAAAGGTTTTGACTCCGACAAAAAAAAACATTCTTGACAGTAAGTAAATGGACTTTTTTTAAAAGTTTAATTAAAATCACTATAATTTTACGGAAAATTATAAAGAAGGTGTTCATTTCATGACCATTTAGCTTTCTCATCATGATACACTTAAAATCGAATAATTTAAATTTTTTGTTAAAAAGAAATAGCGATAAATTTTATAAATATTGGTAAAATGTAAACTTTATATACATCAATTGATTCGTTTTCATACCAGGAATACAATTTTGCCAAGAATTAATTTTTTCTATATAAGAAAAAGTAATTTCAAAAAATATAAAAAACGATTTTTTTCAAAAGTTTAAAAAAATATTAATTTTGTAACATACACACACATACATCTGGACATTTGTTTATAACTTCATATATATTAATTCTAGATGAAAATGAGTCCATATAACACAATTTTAAAACATCGAAAATCCTCATGAGGAAGCAAAATAAAATAATTAATAGTGGACTAACACCGACACATTAACATGACGTCTGTGTATACGGTGCCTTGTTGCCAGTCACTTTCATTTTAAAAATAATCATTTACCTGGTATTTATTTGTCGCGATTTTTCATTAAGATAATTTTTTATAAAATTTACTTTTTATTTATTTAAATTTGAATTAAATTTCCTTGTAAAAATTTGTAAACAAAGATCACTGTTTAAAACAGTTTTTATAATTTTATCTTTTTCAGGATGCTTTAAAGATTTTATAAATAAACAAGAGAAGAGAGAAAGAAAGAAATTAAAAGTATGGGAAGATATATTGGAGATCAGATCAAATCTATAAGAATGAAATAAAGATTACCCTAAGATAAAAAAAGAAGGTGAAATTAAAGGTCAGTTATAGTAAATCACGAAATGCGCAAACTTATAAGTTAAAACAAAGGGTATTATATTATATAGATTTTTTAAAATACATTTTCAAAGGTTAATTACAAAAAACGTAACGAGATTTTAATTTCAGATTTACCGACTACAATAATCATGAAACCAAAAAACAACGAGGATGTAGATGAATAGATTTGTTTTAATGTTTAATCAGGTACATCACACTTTCTGTATTTACAACACCATCCAAATTATTTTCTTTTTATTTATCATATGTACCTATCATCTAATATAATGTATTATGTACTTTTTATCTATGGTTCTTTAAAAACCATATGTTTACAAAAAGATCAAAATATTTTTTACATATTAACCATCGAAAATTTTACGTTATATTATCTTTTTGAGGCTGCAAAAGAAGTAATATCCATGTCTAAGGTTATTTTGTGATATTAAGAGACAATTTATCAGAAACAAATAAAAAGTTTACTGGCAATCATGCGTGGACTTCCGCAAGGAAATCCGAGCGGAATTCAGGCCGAAATTGCTAGTTGTCTTGATTTTTAGATATTCATGTTCTCAATGTTTACAAAAAATTTGAAATTATTTATTGGTTTTGAGCCAACGATAATTTTACTTTATATTATTACTTTTATTCTTTAAGGAAAGTAAAATTCATTTCTAACGAAAATTTCAAGTTCATAGGCAATTAGGCGTGAATTTCCACAAGGAAATCCGGGCGGAATTGTTAATTGTACATATTGATTTTTAGAATATTTTTGTTATGAAAAAATCGAATTCATTTATTGGTTTGGAGCAATTGGTAATTTTACTTTATATTATCAATTTTATCCTTTGAGGGAAGTAAGATTAATTTCTAGATTAATTTTTTACTTACTCTGAAATAAAAAATCATTTAAGGTTAAAATTTTCAAGAATTGACTTAGGAGGGTGCAAGACATATAGCTGTTCTACTCATTTACTATATAACGTAACGAAAAATTCAGCGGCCAAAAGCTCGAATTGTCACTGTCTCCGGGAGTACTGACACAATCACGCAACGTCTGTGTATGTGCCGCCATGTTTGTTTTCATTTTCGTTTAAAAACTTCACTTTTAACTCATTCCACATAGCACGTCATCTTAAAACTTCCTCCTCACTGTAAGCTTACACTGTAAAGTTGTGGTAAGTTTACAATATTATAAAAACCTTACAACAACTTTACCATGTAAACATACCACGACCTTACTGTGTAAACTTACTGTAAGGCGAAAGTTTCAAGATGATCTCATGTTTACTGTAGACTTACACGGTTACCTTACAAGCCCTACAAATATCCTTACAGTAACCTCACAGCAAGAAGCCGTACTATGTGGGTTATGTTTTTAATAATTTAACGTAAAATTATGTTTTTCAGGAGAACAGTGATGTGCATTGTACCCTTCTCTATCAATTCTGATAATTTTAGCCCAAAATATTTTTTCATTTTAGAATAAGTTTGGTATTCGTAAAACATATTTTTCAATACTAATGATTTGTTGTACATACCTTTAATTTGCAATGCCTGTGCCATATAATCAGTGGAATTTCAATTAATTAAAATGTATTGATGGAGCTAGCCAATATATAAAACAAACTGGAAATGTCACTGCATTATATTCCCAGTGGGAAAAGCACCATTGGCTGAATATTGGTCCAATATTGGGAGCACTTTTGCCAATCGCAGTCTATTATTTTAGCCAATATTGGACCAAGTCTGGGAGTGTAGAGACCAATGCCAAGGCTCGAATTTCAAAATTGGCCCAACATTCAACCAATATTCAAAAATACAAAAAATCAGACGTCAGCCAAGATTAAAAAAATTAATTATTTAAACTGAAATATAATAAAATTTTTTGTTATATTTATATATTATATTTTATTATATATAATAACATTATTATTTCCTTTCGGATCAAGTGTTATATAAAATATAAAATCATCCGCAATAAACGGAGAAAAAGAAAAAAAATATTTTCTAACGTCCTGCTAGGCATTAACAATTATCAGCTAAATAAAAGAGATATTGTGAAGATTCAGTACATATCGCGGATACTTATACCCTAACTAATTGATGTTGTTTATGAGAGAGAAAAACACTGCCATCTGGCGGATAGTTGGAAAATTAACGTAGCGCGAAATTCAAATTGCGTGAAGGAAAAACTGTAAATATACACATTTACTTGAAAATGTATTTACTTAAGAATGCATACTATTGCATTAAACAAAACTTAATTAATGTTACAATGGTCAGAAATAATTTTTTTAATTTTAATTCTTTATACTTACAGTTTTTCCTTCATGCAGTTTGAATTTCGTGCTACGTTAATTTTCCAACTATCCGCCAGATGGCAGTGTGTTTCTCTCTCTTAAGGCCTAAGCAGAACTAATTCTTGAACGGGAACGCAAACGGAATGGAATGAGTAAGAGAAGGACAAACATTATGTCTATCCTTCTCTTACTCATTCCATTACGTTTGCGTTCCCGTTCAAGAATTAGTTTTAAACAACATCAATCGGTTAGGGTATAAGTATCCGCGATATGTACAGAATCTTCACAATATCTCTTTTATTTAGCTGATAATTGGTTATGCCTAGCACGACAAAAATATTTTTTTCTTTTTCTCCGTTTATTACAGATGATTTTATATATTATATAACCCTTGATCCGAAGGGAAATAATAATGTTATTATATTATTATAATTAACACAGAAAAACAAATCCGGGACAACTCTCCTTACCTTACCTTATTAACCATCGGAAAATTTTACGATACATTATCTATTTTAGCTTGTAAAAGAAGTAAGATTCATTTCTAAGGTATTTTTCCCCTTGAAGAGGTTATTCATCAAGAACAAATGTTAAGGGGTTAAACCACTCTAGAGCGTCAAAAAAAGGCCTAACTTTAGAAATTTTTTTGAAGAAAAGTTTAAATGTACTGAAAAATATGTTTACATATCTTTATTAGGTACACTTTAAAGAGAAAAAAAATATACTTCATTAATTTTTTGTTTTAAATATCAAATTTACAGGTACGTGATAGGAACCCTTTCTGAGAGGAATCACGTCGCGGCCGGAAAGGTTTTAGCTCCAATTTTCATCCTAGAACAAAAAACAAATTTCTTTCTATTTTTACATCTTAAAAGCTAGAGAAAGACGTAGGGGATTTTTTTTCAATTGATTTTTGCAAAAATGGCGAATATTTTAAGGAAAAACCGAGTTTTTTACTTAAAAAATTGACACTAAATTGTTTATAACAAAAAAAATATGCAACATAAAAAAAAATCCGTACGTCTTTCTCTAGATAATGTTATTGAGAAGCTACAGTTTAATTTTTAAGTAAATCGGTTGAGATTTGTAAAAGTCATGTTTCCGGCCAGCACAAAAAATGTAGTTTTGAGAAAAACGAGTTTAAAGTTTTACTTACGACTTTTTGGATATACCTTCAATCTGCAATGCCTGCGCCGTATAATTGACCTTCCAAATTAAAAAGTGTTTCGACTTATAATTGATATTGTTTCTTATTCTATACACCCTTAGGCGCCTTTTAAAGAAAAAAAATTTTTTTTGATTTTTTGAAAATTCTAGAGTGGTTTAACCCCTTAACTGTCAATTTCGGCAGGACTTCCGCATGGAAATCCGGTCGGATTTGCTAGTTATCTTTTATTTCAGATAATTTTTGATATTTATGTTATGGAAAATTCAAAATCTTTTATTGATTTTTAGCCATCGGAGAAGTTTTATCTCATCATACACATTGTAGACTGCAAGTAAGATATAATTCTTCGTAAATTTTTTCTTTAAAACATTATTTCGCCGAAAACAAAATGTCGCAAAATGTCAAGTTGACTGGCAATTACGCGCGAATTTCCGTGCGGAAATCCGGACGGAAATGCTAGCTGTTTTGATTTTAGAATATTTTTGTTATTTATGTTAGAAAAAATTCAAAAACTTTTAATGATTTTTAACCGTTGAAAAAGTTTTATCTCATCTTAGAAATTTAAGCTGTGATATAAGTAAAATGTACTTCATTGTAAATTTTTAATTTAATAGACTATTCATCAAAATCAAATGTCAAGTTGAGTGGTAATTTCGCGCGAATTTCCGCATGGAAATCCGGACGGAATTGATAAGTATTTTGAATTTTTGAATATTCTTGTTATTTATGTTTTAAATAATTCCAACTCTTTTTTTGTTTTTTAACCATCGCTAAACTTTTACCTTATCCCACAAATTTTAACCTGTCATAAATAAGATATAATATGTACTTCTTTGTAAAATTTTACTGCTGTAAACTATTCATCAAAATCAAATGTCATGACTAGCAATTCCGTGCGGATTTTCTCATGGAAATTTTTCCTCAAAGATTTCCATGCGAAAATCCGCGCGAAATTGCTAGATGTCTTGTTTTTTAGAATATTCATGTTCCTAATGTTTATAAAAAATCTAAATCTTTTATTGGTTTTTAACCATCACTAAATTTACTATATATTATCCATTTTGACCTTTGAGGGAAGTAAAATTTCATTTCTGAGGTAATTTTTTACATTAAGAAACTATTTTTGTTATAAAAAATTCTAAATCTTTAAATGTTTTTTAACCGTTGAAAAAGTTTTATCTTATGTCCTACATATTTTAGACTATGAAAAGAGGAAGATTAATTTCTAAATTTTATTTTGTTATTCCAGGAGACTATTTATGTGAAAAAAATTATAACTGGTAATTCCGCTTGAACTTCCGCAGGGAAATCCGGGCGGAATTTTTTTTTTCTTTTTTAGAATATTTAATATGTTCTCGATGTTTACATAATATTTACAATCTTTTATTGGTTTGAGCCATTATTAAATTTACTTTACATTATCCATTTTATGTTTTAGGAAGTAAGATTCAGTTCTATGTCATTTTTTACATACATACCCAGGTGAAACGATTCTACGGAAATCACTCCACGGAAATTCCGCACAATTTCTATACGGAATTCGGCAAAATTTTGAAAGTATTCCTTTTGTAATTTTGCGAATTTTTTTTGGAAGAATTCCATACAGAATTGCACAAAATTTTCCATAAAATTCCACAACTTTATTTTTTGCTGATTTTTTTGTGATTTTAAAATAACTGCTGCTACTATCACGAAAACTAGTCGACGATGATGT